GAATTTCTTTTAACTTTTCACTATGATCTTTTAAATTATAAGCATATACAATTAMATCATCTATATACACATTATATACAAACGCTTTTACTTCATTTATTCCTAATAATACTGTGTTCATTAATCTTTGGAAAGTACTCGGCGCTCCTTTTAATCCRAAAGGCATTTTAAGAAACTCATAATGTCCTTTATCTGTCGAAAATGATGTCTTASCTCTATCATCTGCATGTATCRATACCTGTTCGTATCCGYTCGCTAGATCCAAGGTCGTATAGTATTTAGAATTTCCTAGTTGATCTAAGATATCATTTATATTAGGAATCGGTAACATAATATCTCGGATCGAAATATTATTTAATTTCCTGAAAACCACACAAATACGAAATTTTTGTTTCCCTGAACAATCAACCTTCTTTGGTATTACTAATAAACGGGGTATTCCAAGGTGAAGTACTCTTTGTAATGATTCTATCTTTTTCCATTTGATCTACCTGCGTTGATATCTCTTTCTTGTGATTTTGTGGTAACCTATATGGTTTAATATAAATCGGTTGAATATCGGGTGTTGTTCTAATTCGATGCTGTATTTCTGATGTTTTCTCTAATTTTTCACCTTCTAATAAAAAAATATGGGAAAATTCAATAAATTTATTTTTTAATGATTGGTATTCYTCCTTATTGAGATGCTGCAATCTTAAAGACTTCTCCAGTAATTGTACTCGATTTTCATCATCCGGACCTCCTGTAAATTTAGTACACACTTGTATATTTGACTTCCAAATTTCTCGTACAATAAATTACCCAAATCTACTGGCTATAACTCAATAGAATTCTCATTTTGATTGTCAACTTTCGTTAACACTTGCCGATTCCTTACTGTAGTCACTACATTACCAMATTGAACTCGATTTTGCAATACTTGTGAATAAATAATCACTGTATACTTTTCCTTTACTTGATTGTCTGTGATTTTTACTGAAATTATCATTTCCGATCTCAGTGGTACTATTGTATTGTCCAAATTATCTGTATGCGGATTGTCTTGATTTACTACTGTAAAATTTTCTTCAGTAATTGTCGACGTTATCTCATTTTTTGCATAATCAATTRCTATATTATTATCTTCCAAAAATGCTTTGCCTAAAATTCCATCGTGAGATATTGGAAAATTATTACTAACCACTTGAAACCTTACTTGTCTTGTTTCTTCTCCAAAATTCACTGTTATATTTACGGACCCAATTGTGTTCAAAAAATATTTATTAAWCCCTTTTAATCGATATAAAATTTTTTCGTTAACTTTTACGTTATCTTTTAATGATAATAACTTTATTATATTTACTTCACTACTTGTGTCAAGTAAAAATTTTGATTTCTGATTAATAAATTCGGTAGTTTGACGTATAA